GTTGTCTGTGTTCCTATGATATACTCACTCCATATTCCTCGTACGTTAACTCGGATTTTTATTCTCATATTTCTTATTGTTATCACGTTTATTGATAAGTCACGTAAACTTTCTCAAATCCACGTTTCACCAATTCAGCAAAGTTATCTCCCTTGAAACGTAACTTTCTCATTAGCCCTCTTCTTACAAACACTCTCTGATATTTCTTTTCCTTCATTATATTTTGCATACTTTTTGATACATCTTTCTGAATATTCATTTGTCACCAGTGTCTCCCTCAAGAATTTCTCTTCGTAGTGTTGTCTGTTACTTGAACATTCTTCTAGCTCCATCGAATAATGTTCGAATAAGACTTCTTTTTTATTCGCCCGATGCAAAGTTGGCTTTCTATGCATAGATCTCGCTCGCTATAGTTCTCTCAGCCCGTTTACGAATATTTACATCCAACCAACCAACGTGTAGTTTCACTATCTTCATATTCCTCTGAAAGTGTTATACTAGCATGTCAGAGATTTAATTCCTCTAAGAATATCTCAGTTTTCGCCTTATGACGTGAATATACCGCTCATATACCACACGTGTATGTCAGCTTTTCCTATACAGTCCTTCAATCCTACAATGTAGTATATTCTAAACTTGCGAGGAGCATATCTGCAAACAGAGGCCCTAACTTCCCTCCCATCGGTACACCATCTGTCTCAACATACAATCGCTTATTGAACACAAACTCTACCCATTTATTACAGTAACTTCCTCAAACAATGCTTAGTCAAAGGAGACTGGTTAGCTACATCACAAGTAAAGTGAATCGTTCCCTTGACGAAGGTATGTGTGAAAAGTGAATCAGTATGAAATGACACAAAGTGTAGGGGACTTAATAGCGACCTCGGTAACCAAACAAATATTAGAATAGAAATCGAATTTCATGAAATAATAGTGTAAGAGTATATTATAAAAATAAATACAGATAACCGGTTATATAAATTAAATATAATTTTTAAGACAGATTAGGACAAGTGAGTATCCGCTCATAGTCTACTAGGTTGTGCTCGCAGTCATACACCCTACGTAGCCCAGTGGTTTGCTACATCGTCGCTGTGAAAATAAATATCCTTCATCTTTACTGATTCCAGAGTCTTACATTATCAAAGGTATCACTAAGGTCTGCATATAATGGAATCTAGAACTCACATACATTCGCTAACATAAGTTAACATGTTTGCATCCATCGTGTTGAGTCAGAAGAGAGAAGGCGAATACATCCTACATATTATGCCATTTATGCAGAGTATATTATATGCTTCTCACATTAACATATCTGTGTTGGAGGCTTCGTTAACACAATAATTAGCAGCCAGTATATGAACAAAGAAGTGAGGTCACACAAAATGAAAAGCGACCAGGTAGTGTGAAGGCACCAATGACCCTGACTACCTGTCGTTTGTTGCATCGCAGAAACTGCTGTGTATTATATATCAAAAAGCCGTTTATTTACCAGAAAAATTAACATAATGATTATGAAGCATATGAAAGAGGATATTTCACCCTGACGTAACTAAGAAATACTTCCCAATTACAATGGAGGATATCAGTTTCCAAGTTCCATAAGTATCATAATGGTTTCACTTATATGAACAACGAAACACCCTCCTCCCATTTGTTTATTTACAAGAAAAATACAGAAAATAAAAATAATGATTGTAAAACACCCTCACTCTAACGTGCTATCAACCCATAGTTCAAACACTGCTTGAAAACGATATCAGAATGAACATCAGTTCATGCGCATAGTTCATAATGGTGCTGTAATAACGGCAGGTTCCATAATCTAGCAAATAGTTTGCGCTCAAGGTTATTGGTGCGCTCGAACAGCATGTTCGCCATTCTTTATGTTGATTGAAGTGAGGGTATTCTGCTTTACATTCACTCATAGTGGAGTGAATATCGATAACGCCAACTGCTAGAGAATAAATTCCGGCCAGCAGGAAACTGTTCAGCCAGAAGGCGAAAGACAAGCTGTCGCATTGGGCCACTTCAGCGTGCATACACCAGTTAACTTGCTGTCGATGAGCTGATTACATCGGCCATACCATGTGTCAGCTTGAAAAACGCGCTCCTGAACACTATCCAGCCTGGCTAGTTAAAGGAGAAGGAAAACGGGTGGGTATATAGTTCAGTGACAGAACATCTAGTCAATTCAGGACATTCAGCACCATTCGAAAAATCCTTCAAAATAATATACAAGTTTCGACTAAACCTATCAAAGGGAGTAAAATTAAGACGTCTGGGTATAGCACCAGCCATCCAAAAGCTCAAACCCACGCTATGTATCCAAAAGAAATACGTCCAACCCTTGTCCATGGCCATAATAAACAGGTCATTCTTTTATTAGTGACTATCCCATTGCCTTTCTTATCCAAACTTCCTGTTTATCCATGTTATTTTTTATGTTTATCTTAATCCCCATTTACACTACCATATTCTCATATCCGAACTTCCTGTCTGTTTTGTCATTTTATTATTTCTACATATTTAACCCCAATCTGCATAAGCAATTATTCGTCACATTAGTTATGATCCCACTAGATTTTTGTCCAACCTCCTGTCTATTTTTGTTATTTCTACATTTCTAACCCCCAATTGCACAATATGTCAATCATCTCAGTAATTATGATGCTACTTTGTTTGAGTTTTATCCGTACCTCACCCTGTTTATTATGGCATTTGAATTCCTAATTGTATTTTCATTAATTTGACACTTGATCGGAAATCATTCTGGAAGTTCCCCACCCATTTATCATAAATATACGAATGTACAGCCTAGTTGATGACTTCGTCGAAAAAAATAAAGTTTTCTTCGCTGCAACCATCTTTTTAAAAATTCCTAGATGTTGCATCTACTCATATTATAGTGTGCTATTCAGAAATTTATATTCAGCACGTAGGTGTGAATAACCTGACTTATGTATTTATGATTTCTCTGTATAGCTAGCTCTTCAGATTGAATGATATACGTAGAAAAGAAATATTAATTGTCAAATCTGTTTTCACAAATTCCTCCAGTCTGTTGGCTGGCAATTCACGAAGTGTATCATAGGATGTCCACCTGCCACTGTTCTCCCAGTACCATAGCTTACAAACAGTCAAACCATCGGTAAAATGTGAAGCGGTGGGGATTTTGAAATAAGAGGACTAAATCCAGTTTTAGCAGTACATGGAATTCAATCTTAACTGTTTGGATTTTGTTACAGTCTGTCTAGTTAATGCAAGTATTCGTCTGCCCTAGATGTAAAACTCTACCATGAACTTCCAATGATCAAGGCACTCTACTCGAACTCATGCAGTCAGCCAGGTGAGAGCTTACGGTGAGTTGTCATCTGAAGTGGTGACAACTAGTGGTGTCCATCAGGGATGCCCATTATCCCCATTTCTATTCAATTTCATTATAGATCATGTTTACTATCACACAAACTCGAAGACCAGCAAGTTAGGAGGAGAAGCAGAAAAGACAGGAATTCAAGTGAACGTAGAGTAGACAAAAATGATTCAGGTACTTCAAAAAAAGCAACAACAACAAAAAGCACCAATCACCATCAACGGACAAAATTTAGAGGTAAGTGACTTCTTTTATTTATCTGGACAACATCGTTTCAACTACCAACAGCATAGATTAACATGTCAAAATCCGGAAGAGCCAAAGTAACAGAGACCTGCATCAATATGGAAGCAGAGTGGAAATCTCCTGCATTCAGCATAAGGGACTTATCACTCAACAAATATGCAGTAGGAAATGCATCGAAAGCACACTGAGTGGAACCAGATGGGAACCGACGACTTGACAAGCATTTGTATGGCCAAATAAAAATGATTACAAAGAACAGGGTGGAATGCGGATGTGCCGCTGAAACCGTCTATTCCACTCAGAAATCAAGGGAATAATAATAATAGTAATAATCCTGCCGTATCTGAGTAGTCCCAACTGGCACCAATCTCGACAATTCATGTTCATCGATCCACGTTTCCATCTATCTTCATTTATGACATTACCATTTGACTCTACCATAACATGCAAGTATGAAAATGTATCAACAACATCATCCCAGTGTTGAAATTCCAGAAGAGGAAAGCAGACAAGTAAAGCTGTTTCACCCGATGTACTGACAGTGATTCATGTTACTTGTAGAGTTTGCAAAAGCTTATCACAAATGAATCAAAGACGTTCGGTTATCAAAAGTAAGAGAAGAAAATTGTTTGGTTGAAGATATTTAGGAGTATTTAGGATTTGGCTAAGATATGTGAAACTTTCAAGGGCTTATGAGCTGCAATCACGCACATTTGTTATTGTCACCAATCTTAGGTGTGTAGAGCTGTAGAGTTGTTCTCCGAATTGAAGTATCGATAAAATTTGCCTTTGAATATGAAGACGGGAAATACTTGTGTAACAACAGAAGACAAGCGCCAGGCAACAGATCGTTTATTTAGGAAATCAACACATATTTATATATTTTCATGTACATTATTATAGATTATTGTAAGCAAACAAACACAGTCTTCTGATTGGTGGTTTCTCGCTGAACGTTAATCTTTCATCTCTTTGTGGCCGTTTCTTGAAGTTCAGATTATCTATCTGCAAATTGTATCCGCCTACGCAAAGTCTGCTGTGATTGGTTGTTGGGTCAGTCTTTGTTCTTAGTTTCCTCATGACCAATATTTCGGACGTACACATTGACGTAAATTACTGTCTAGCAATTTTGGCTAGCAGCCAGCCCTCACCACATACTAGAACCATATGGAAATTGAAAATGTTCACATCGCGCATAAAATACATATTTATTTATTATATTCTTAATATCAATTCAAGTAGAGATGAAGTTTATAAAAGTAATTAAAATAAATTACACTGGGATTTTTACACTTTCAATATTAATAAACCAATATTTACATAGAAAGGTCATGAGTGTGTGTGTTAAATATACCTGCACTTTTGAATAATAATACTACTAATAAACAGTATCGCTCTTGTGGATTGACGAATCATCTTGATCATTGTCACTGAAGTCTTCAATAGGTGTGTCAATCGAAGGAAGAATATCAATCATCTATTTTGAAATATTTAGAAAAAAACAGCATAAAATGGAGTGAAATTAACCTTGGGTTATTGGTGTTAATTCAACACTTCTGTTACATCAAACAAACAGCAATAATGGAACCAGAATGTATCACTCAATTATCTTGATGGTCTATGAGCTCGCCTTGTAACGAGAAGGTCCTGGTTTCGAAACCTGGCAGTGGGTGCGTACTGTGAAGAGTCCCAAACTAGGACGAGACAGCAATCCCGTACTCCCAGGTTTTCCAATGATTCTCATAATGAAATCCTGTAACCACTTCAGTCATCAATAATTACACTAGCTGTTAAGTCAGATCAATTACCATATCCTTAGTGAACCACAACGCACAGCACGGGATAAATGATCAACTTCTGAGGAAGCTTTATCTTAGCAAGCTAATATTACTGTTAGCAAGTCTTTTATTCCTTTTGATGGTGTATAGGCAGATATACGAAAATAATAATGTTAACCACGGGAATGGTTTGAATAGATATAGAATACGAGAATGAGGAGCAAACACATGTGCATATTTGTCACCGAATTGAATTTTCACCAGAGTATATTGATTGAAATGCTTCACAGAAAGACTTTACAAAGGTAGTGTTTTCAACAACGAAGCATTTAAAAAGGCTGTAATCTCATGTGCTGTCCGTCCATCTGACAATTTAACAACTGACACAACTCAAATGATGCGTACACAAACACACATTCAAGAATATGAACTAATCAAGGTTTCTCCAGCAGTATAAATTGATTGGTATTGTATATATACCGCTTGTCAATGTCATACATCTTCACATGAATTTCGAATCCACAGAGTCCTAATTAATTTAATTTAGCCAAGGTGTTTATTCACAGTTGAATATAGGAATTAGACAATTCAAGAATGCAGTTTACTCAGAAGACGAATAGAAAAGGTGAGCTAGATAAACAGTTTCAAAGTACTGCGAGAACTTTTTGAGAAAAAAATGAAGTTCTACAAAAAGGAATCTCAACCAACTAACTCACTAACCTGTTCAGGTCGAATCCAACACAAAAACTGAAGAAAAAGCCAATGTAATAGGGCTATGAAAAAAGTCAGTTTCCCTGTGAATGGTCCAAGTTGATATAACCTTTATTGTTGGAAAAAAATAACAACAGACAAATCAGAATATTGAAGACTACACGTACGTACAATTTATCATCTGGTTGATACCATAAAAAAGAAATCAGGAAACCATGCACAAATGCATAAAACTGCTGTATACTACTGATCAACTGACATGAGTAGTTGAATAACACTCACATCAACCAGTAGTGCCTGCTAGCCAGTTCGAAAAGACATTAAATACCGAACGGTCGTTCCACTCGTTTGAGGTCGAGTTCGACTGCTGTTTGGTTGATATGAGTAGCTGGATGGAACTTATCCCTACTACTTTTAGTATATATTATCATGCATTGGCGCTTGCTTTCTCGATTAACACTTATGGTATCAAGCAGATTATGTAATGTGATCTAGATGATTTTGGTTTTCAGATGGAAATGTGTTGAAATTCCACTTCGAAATCTGCAATTTGCAAATGACGAATTTCATTCTATACATAACAGGTTCGTCGAAGTAGCTAGCCAGAATTCAGGTGGTTTGAACTGTGATTCAGATCTCGGAGCTGAGTCAAACTCCGGTATTCAGCTGATGAGTGGAACGCATGTCCGGTGCTTAGATAACTTCAGTCTCGTTAGCAAGCACTACTGGTTTATGAGTGGTGTCTAAAACTACTCATGTCCATCAATCAGACTGGTTTTACATTCCATCTCTGATTGATTGTATTATTATTATTAATCCCGTTGGGTTCCGATTGTAACATAGGGCCTCAACAATACATCTCCACTTTCTTCTGTTTTCTGCCGCCCTCTTCAGCTGATTCCACGACTGCCCATAATCTCTCATCTCCTCTTCACACGATCTCCTCCATTTCACCCTCACACCGATGACCCACTCATCGCTTCTAATTTCGATTCCACTCAAGCGTTGGCCTGGCGCGCGATGTCATTCGACAGTCTTCTCAATGTATGCCCGATCCATCCATCTCCATTTTCTCTTACATAATTGTTGAGCGATCAGCTCTTGGGTTGGTTTGCTCCCAGCCAGCCAGCCAGAGTTTCTTGTTAGTAATTCTTTCTCGCCTGCCATCTGATCTTCAGTATGGAGCCAGTGAAGTGGGCAGCTGTTGATAAAAGTCTGCAACCTGTTCGAAATCCTTTTCGTGACACGCAGTGCAAATTTCTGACCCGTATAGAAGGACTGACTTGACATTGGTGTTGATTGATCAAATGAACAATATTCACATGGATGACTTATTTTTATAATTTTGCTAATCCAAATAGAAAAATTTCTAAAGCTTTTCAGAGCTTTTATTCATTCAAGTCGATGGAAAATGGTTTTCCGTCTTCGTCATAAAACACACACACACACACAACAGAACTCATTAAAAGCCACAGTTGTATATTTGAGTCAGGTACTAGTATATACAATGTGTAAGATGAACAGCCGAATTTCACAATGACACTCAAAGGAATTCTACTTATGCTTAGGATTTTATTTAAACTGATGATGAAATCTTTTAGACAGAAATATTCAAACTAACATGAACAAAGAAATCAAAGGAATTCAAGAAGGATGAAAAAGTATTGACACACTTTGATGCCAATCGATGCAATTAACTATTATTATTATTGTTCCCTTGGGTTCCTAGTGGAACATAGGGCTTCAACTACACGTCTCCACTTGCTTCTGTCTTCTGCTGTACTTTTCACCTGCATCCATGTTAGTCCATACTGTTTCAACTCTTCTTCACACGATCTCCTCCATGTCACCCTTGGACGTCCCAATCGCCGCTTCCCTTTCGGGTTCCACTCGAGCTATGGTCTGACGCGCGATGTTTTGTTTGTTCCCATAGTTTCTTGTTGGTGATTCTTTCCGGCCATCTGATCTTCAGTATAGAGCGAAGACAGTTGTTGATAAAGGTCTGCAACCTGTTGGAAAAATTCTTTGTGACCCGTCAAGTTTCTGATCCGTATAGAAGAACTGACTGACTTGACGTTTGTATTGAAAATCCGAATTTTGTTGTTGATGCAGGCTGAGTGACGAAGATTTCCAGATTGGTTTCAGGTTGATGAATGTGTTTCTCGCCTTCCCGATTCTCGATTTGACATCCTCGTCCGTTCGTCCTGTAGTTGAAACAATGCTCCCTAGATAAGTGAATGAAGTAACCTCTTTCAAATCCCTTCCGTTGATGATGATTGGCGGTGGATGTTGCTGCTGCTGTTGTTGTTGTTGGTTGGTTATTTTCATAACCTCCGTCTTGTCTATGTTCACCTGGAGTCCTGTCTTTGCTGCTTCTTCGACCAGTTTGTCGGTTTTCGCTTGTAAGTCTTCGATTTTGTGTGACATCAAACATAAATCATCTGCAATTAACTATGATGATAATAATCATTATTATTAATACTAATAATATTAATAATATAAAGCATTACTTATTTTTACCTGGTTATTCTCTTCCGTAATGATACAGTTGGTCTGGACATAGCAGCAGAATAGACTTTTTCTGTACGTTTAGCAACTTTAGGCCATGAATATGTACCACGTATCCATTTGTGCATATGCCAACAATGATCAGTAATTGAATTACACTGGTATTCAGTACCATCGATATATTTCAGCGCATTTGTTGCTAGTGAAAATCGACATAAAGGATTGGGAGGTCTACATACTTCTGACTTTTTATTTGATTAATATATGAAAATAAAAACAAATAAAGTGTATGGCGTTAATTTATGTACGACAAAATTACATCTTTTGATAAAAAAAGGGCTACAGAAGTAGAAATTTATCATCACTTCATCCGGCTTCGATTCCTGGCTGGTGCACACTACTCCTAAACCTCACCTCAGAAAGGATGGAAGTTCAGGCGTGAGGCGCGTGGCAACCCTGACCTGTAAAAACAGCACAAGCGCTACTGGAACTTCAAAATTGTAAAGCTTGAAGCCCTATATGCTGCACTCAGAACGCAAAGGAATGAAAGAACTCAGTGCACTTTTTCAGTTGATATAGAATCATTTATTGAATTGCCTTACTGAAATAATTGGATGTCACTATTATCATATCATAATAAGTATATCAATTGAAAGCTTCCATTTTACATATAGTGTGGTGTGTGCTACTCAAAAGATTTATCAGAGTAGTATATAGACACAGATTGATAGGAAGTAGCCAAAATTCAATGTCTACAGAGGTAGAAGTGTTTATTCCTCAAATCTGGATTTAGTTTACGTTGTGGTCAGCAAATAATCTCAAGGTTTAACCTTCAGAAAATCAATAAACAATCCGAACAGTTTATTGTCATGGACAACTTTCGACTCAATATTCAATGTAAAACTCAATCCAAATTTGAAGAATAAACACTCCTACTTCTACGGTCACCAACCTAAAATGTTGTTTTCAATTTTAGCTACCCTCCTGTAAATCTGCGTCCATATACTACTGATGAATTTTTTTCAGTATCACACACCGCGATAGCAGTACACAGCTCCTTATTGTATGATTTACAAATGGCAGTTGAATTTCAGAATATTCAGCATAAGAAATGAACTGACTGCTGATTACTTCTCTATCAAATCATCACTCAATACACCATAACAGCGATAATATAACAGGGCAATGAGAATATTTTGAAAATTTCTACTATCAATAGCAAAATAAAGGAACAAAGAGATGTACAACTACAAAATCAATATCTGACTGTTTTAATGCAAGTGTGCATGCGCGTTAAATCTGTCTGTTTTCAACATAGAACTTTGCACCGATGTGCAGCAGTTCGAGTCACCACACTCACTTTATGTAGCACACCAACCAAGAGAAGAAAGTAGAAGAAATGCATATTGGAGACAGTAAACAGAGGTGTGAGACAAAGGTATAGTAATAACGAAGATCAATATAGTTTCATTGGAAATTAAAAGTCACAGGGAGTGGATGCATCTGCACCAGCCATTGAGAACGATTTTCTGTCATATCATCAGTTGACTCAAGCCTTAATTGTTTTTTACCATCCTGAGGACCCCAACCAATCAGGAAGCCACTTTACACCTTCCAACGTGGCCGGCTTAAACTAAGTGTTGTGGATTCCACTGACTGATGAAGCTATGTGTTGGTTTGACCACCACTAGCTGGCTCTTTTCCAGCCTGACCCTATATCAGTTAACATCGCCCGTCGAGGAAGGCGCGTTAAATCATGCTTAAAAAGGCTATGGAGTAAAACGAGTATTGTGTTACACAGTTTGACATTCCTAATAGAATTACTGGAACCATTTCTAATGATTAGATCCCATCTTTCATCTCACATATGCCTATTTTAAATTGTATTACATGCTAAAATGTAAAGTAAGAAGAAGTTGATATGGCAAAATGTTATATCATTAGTGGAGATGTGGCTAGTTTCCACAAACGCCTAACTTTTAATCGAAACATGCATTCAAACTTTGTTGCACCTACTACATTTTAAATAACCGCGTAACTTGTACAACTACAATGTATTCTATAAGTATAAGACAGTATATATAAGCCTCATGAGATACTACTTAATACATTTTCAGAAATAATAATACTTGGTATATAAGAGGTGGGTTTATCACCATAGAAGTTCAATTGCTAACTGACTGACATAGTTTTCAATGTAGAATTTCGTACACAGAAATGTCTCAGTTCAGGTTGCTACACTCTATACAGCACACAAAATAAACTACAAAATACACTGAAACAATCATCATCGATTCTTTTGGCAAACTGCATGGTAACACTTTTATTTCTGAATAGTTCATCAACTGTAACTCACCTTATCTGAGGTTAAGTGATCACAAGACTCATTCATATCATTTGTTAACTTTGAATTTTTGCGTAGTTGACGAACTTGAATGATTGAATCCGCGACAACGGAGGCTAGCTCAGAAGCTTTCGCTGGAGCAAGTCGAATGAAGTGTTCTGGTAAAACTTCAGGGAGTCCACCTACTGCCGTACTGATAACCATAAGACTGAAGAAAGAAGAAACAAAAATGTAGTGAAAAATAAGGTCTTCAATGGCACTGATGACTTGAAAACAGATCTAACTCCATTCAGCGATTTACTTTAGAGATCATAGAAGAGCATCCACTTCTAGTGGGAACAGTGTTCAAAAATAGCAGAAGGACAAAATGTACAGAAGTGAATACTAAAATAAACGAAAACGCGTATAGCAGTGAAGAGAAAAGGAGTGAGAGTGACACAGATAAGCAATCCCAGTGAAAATGTTCCAAATACCAAGGCGGTTAAAATAGTTTACTAGTCAGGAGAAAAGATCCAAAGAAGCTAAATAAAATGTTTATGGCATTCTATACAACAGCATCGTGAACAATGATGAAGTACACTAATAATTTTATTTGAATACAATAAAATTCACTCATCTGATCGTCAATGACTAATTATCCACTAGACCAAGTGTGGTGAGTGCTACTGATAAGATTTATCAGTAGTATATAAAGGGACGTCCATCGGCATAAAAACATCAAATAGCAGGGAGATACATTCGATTTCAGAGAAGGCAAATGATACATCGTTGTGGGGATACATTGGCGAAGTGAATTTTTTTCCTTTTACTGGGCTTGTTCTGACTGCTTTATTCCTTGTTTTCCTGATTCTAAGGGGAGCAACCCATAAAGTCGCTCCTCTGTAAATTATATACATATATATGTAACAACCCCCTTATCAGACGTGAGGCTAGCAACCCCACCCTATAAACAAAGCTGCTACAGAAACTTCAGTACGATGAGTCTCCTTGCGACAAAAGAAAAAGTCTGTGTGGAGACATGGAACGTCCGCACTATGTATGAGGCTGGCAAAGCTGCCCAGATTGCAAACGACATGAAATGATATGGTATTCAAGTGCTGGGAATAAACGAAAGCAGACGGAATGGGAGTGAACTCACAAAATTGTCAACGAGAGAGTCGATGATCTACTCCGGTCACCCAGAAGACAACCACGAACACACCGAGGGTGTGGCTATCATGATGTCATATATATATATATATATATATATATATATATATAATCGGATAAGAGTTTAGGCTTAGCAGCTTAACTATGCAACGGATTTGTAGGCATCCTATAACTATACATCTGAACAATCTATTTATGTTTACAGTAGACAGAGTGTACAGATTACTAGAACAAAACAGAGGTTGCTTTCTCAAATAAACTGAATCACTTACTACAAATAAAACCAATGAGGTTGATTTTCTTAGATTAAATATGAAATGTTTACATTACTGAAGAAGAGTAAACAAATGCTCAAAAGTTGTTTTTCTTACACACAACAAAACAATGCCTTTTGGTAATATATTAGAAATATACATAAGACTTGAGACTGAAATTACCGATGTTCATGTTAATTTCTAAAAGAAAACTTGATTTTTAGACACCTATATATGAAAAATAATTCAGCAAAGTCTACTGCTTCTTATTTCAATTAACAAGTACTAAGAAAATACTCACATTCTGTCTGTCTGTTTTCGACCTAGAACTTTGTACATATGTGCGGCAGTTCAAGTCAACACACTCCATGTAGCACACAAAGCAAGAGAAGAAAGTAGAAGAAATACATAATATAGTCAGTAAACAGAGGTGTGAAACAAAGGAATAGTAATAACGAAGAACAAAACAGTTTCATTAGAAATCATAAGTCACAAGGAGTGGATGCATCTGCGCCACTGAGAACGATTTTGAGCCATGTCACCAATTGTTTCCAACCATTGGTTTCTACCGTCCCGAGGACCCCAACCAGGAAGCTTACACCTTCCTACGCAGCTGAAACAAAATGTTGTGGATTTCATTGGCTGGTGCCATGTTTTCATTTGATCGCCGCTAGGTGTTTTCCAGCCTGACCCTCACATTCATTTTCAGTGATAAAATCCTTGTGTACCACGCATGTGGTCCGGATTCGATTCCCCACAGGTGCGAAACTCTTAAACTTCGTCTAGTTTACTACTGGTTGATAGTAAGCCTGGTAAAGAGGGAAGGTGGAGCATGAGGCTAGCGACCCTCCCACTGCACCCTGTAAGAAGGGAAATCAACACCACAGCTACGGAAAGTTCAAAGCTTCAGGCTTGAAACCCTATGTTCCACTGCTCTGAACACAAAGGAATGATATAATGATAAAATAAAAAAAGAGAAATTAAAATATAAAAAAGGACCTGTAGTCGGCAAAACAAAGTAAACACAAAAAAATCCTATACAATATAAAATATTCTAATGGTACGACCTACCCACAAGAAACTGCTTCAATAATTGCTATACAAAATGCTTCTGTGAGTGATGTATTCAGAAAAATATCTCCTTGGATTAACACCTGGGGAAATGAAGATATATATATATATAAATATATATAATTTACAGAAACGAATCGAAACTATGCTGTGAAGCAGTTTTTGGTATTACGTAACATCTAAAGTAGTTATCCGATTCCTGATATATCAGTTAGAACTTGATTCGATAAAATATGCTGACAGTCAAGTGTATGAAAATTGGTTCTTAATCACCACTGACATGACTATTATGCTATTAGTCTGCAGAACAGTGTACTGTTATTAGACGGTTGGAGGCAACCGACAGGAAACCTTGGACCTAGGTGTCGTGCTTACTGGCACTCACCAGTCAGTAAAGCGTATCTACAATCTTAAAGCAACTCATGTCCAAGGCTTCCTGTTGATAATTGCCTCCAACCATCTAATAGCGACAATTCAGTGTGAACCGTAAATGGTAAGCCTACCTACTACACTGACCATATTGCAAACTTGAATACTAGAATTCAGTAGTCTGCTTCACGCCCTACTTCTAACTCGTAAATCACAGAGCAACATTTCCCTTAAATCTGGCTTTTCATCCATTTTGCCCTTCTTGGCTGATAGTCATGAGTATAAACTAGGACACACTTCTGTGCACTATGCACAGAAATTTTCCGAAGATTTAGTGGTGACAGCATCATTATATGAAGGTGAGTACATAAGACACGTCCCACGAAAACTTCCTCGCGAGATTTCTTCCTATCTGCCATAGGTGTGGCAAGGTATACGACAAGGAACTGTTGCATAAGTTTTGGTGTAGCTCCTCCCCTTGTTTGTATGTAGCTCTCTTGAAGGTGTCCACAAACTCTTCTACCTGACCGTTGGCCTGGGGGCAGTAAGGTGGTGTCTGCACCTGCTGTTTACTATTTCTTCGACAGAAATCTTCAAATACTTGAGATGCGAACTGACCGCCGTTGTGAAATACAATAATATCCTCCGAAATGCCATGAAATGCGAAGATTTCAGTGAGTGCTTCTAAGGTGGGATGGATAATTGGAACTACCTCCAACCACTTTGAATAAGCGTCTATTAGAACCAAATATTAAACACCATTCACCGACCCAACGAAGTCCACGTGTAGTCATGACCATGTTTATGATGGTGGCCATGCTTTCAGTTGTTCTTATGGTGGGTTTTTGCCCATGGCTTGATATGATGGCTATTACTTCAGTGAATTCATGGTAGCTGTCTAGGCTGTCTGTGCAAACTGTTAATTACTATTCAAAAATTAACTTTGAGACTTGCACCTGTATGTTTATTATAAATGATAACTGACTGTTATAAGTGCCCATTAAGGTTGAAGAATCCAAAAGTCATCGCAGTTATTTCTGTGCATATTTGATAATAATAATAATAATAATCTTTATTACACCAACAGATGTGGATATTAGGAATTTAAATTAAACCATCAAGTGACATCACTAGACAAGCCATTGCTCGAGTGGAACCCGAAAGGGAAGCGGCGAGTTGGTCGTCAGTGCAAGGGTGACTTGAAGGAGGTCATGTGAAGAGGAGTTGATAACGTGTGGGCAGACATGGAGCCAAGTGAAGACTCTAGCAGGGAACCAAACTCAATGGCGACGCGCGACTGAAGCCCTATGTTCCTCTAGGAATTAAAGGATACAATAATACAATAATAATAATGATAATAATAATAATAAATTAAACTGTTGGTAATGAATATAGGCGGACAAAGCGATAAACTCTTAATACAATTAACCAGATAGTGGTTAATGTATTACTAATAAAAAATAAATAATATTAACTTACAGATCGAACTTCATGTGGTTGTAAACTTCCTAATAATTTAACACGTGAATGTAATTGATAATGCTCACGTATATCTTCCAGTTCAAGACGTTTAGGTCCATCACCACCTAAATAATGTAAACACATATGACGTCACTCGTAAATAAGACTTAAAATTAATAAAGTCTCCACAGAAAATCAGTATTACAATTGTAAGGAAAGTGTCAGAAGTATTTTACAGCATAAACTTTCTGCACGTAGAAAAAAGTTTGGTAATAACAAGGATAAGAAAATAAATATAAATTTGTACAACTTAGTCACAAAGACGGAAGATACATTTAGCTGAAAGGATGCGAGACATATGTAAAAGACACCATCCATTCTGACATTACAAATAGTGTTGTCGAGGAATATAACACATGAAACATAATAAGGATAATTGATAAACGGAACCTGCATTTTGTGGAATTCCCATCATAGAAAAAGATTTCGTTGAAGGCATTTCCATGAGTATGCAGAGGGTGTTTTCCTGGGGTTTTATGCAGCTGATAAGCTTTTGGAGGTACTTGGTATGCAGATATACGTACTCGCTGTTACGTGTGTTCTCTAATGCATTTCACAATTCTGCCGACCTTCTTAATAATTGATCGTATTTTCGAAACCTACAGCTGATACACAATCTCCTTTCAAGAAATGGCAAGAGCCAATCAGTGAAGAAGCATCGTCTCCATAGAGTACACTGCTTGGTTCTACCAACAATTTCATTGAAGTTTATCGTATTTAGACCAAACCATACCCACAAGTGATAACTTTTCGCACTTTGCTATTGTAATATGTTATTTCATTATCTTAATTATTTGAACATTTTGTCCTACAACATTATGGACAAACTAACCGGAAACATTTTGGTTGTGACTAGTGTTTGGTCCACCACAAACAAATTTACTAATAAGCCCATATTTTAAGCTAGAGTTAAATTGCCTACGCTAAGTGGTTTTGTATACTTTGTATCTGTCATTTTGCTGTGAGTTCCACTAACCACTAAGCTACAAACTCTATTATGAGTTCAACGAGTTAATTAATAGGTATTATCATCCATAACTGATTTCAACACAGAACTTTGCAGCGATGTGCAGCAGTTCGAGTCGCCACACTTCACTTAACACACAAAGCAAGAGAAGAGAGTAAAAACAAATGCAAAACAGAAACAGTAAACGGAGATATTAGGCAAAAGAATAGTAATATGGAAGAACATTATAGTTTTATTGGATATTGTAATCCACAAGGAGTGGATGCATCTGCACCAACCATTGTGAACGATCACTTTGAGCCATATCACAAATTGTCTACAGCCTTTATTGTTTTTTAACATCCCGAGGACCCCAACCAGTCAGGAAGTCTACACCTTCCTACGTGGTCAGCTTAAACTAACTGTTGTGGATTTCATTGACTGATGAAGCTATGTGTTGATTTGACCACCACTAGCTGACTCTTTTCCAACCTGATCCATCCTATGTCAGCTAACATTACTCATTGTCGAGGAAGGCGATGACTAGGCAGGCATGCGTAACACATGTCCTAACCATCTCAATCGATGTAACTTCACAGCTTCGTCTAATGATCTCCTCTCCTTACCTAGCACCCGACGCCTAACCTCAATGTTGCTCACCCTGTTATACCATTTCACGCAGACACCTATGATCAAAGACAGTTAGCCGGCCTTTTCATGTCTTGCAGTTTCAATGGCCAGGTCTCACAGTCACCACTGCTAGCGAAACTTCTCGCCTCTAGCTCGAAGCCCTATGTTCCACTGCGAAAGTAAAGGAATAGAAAAATAATAATAATTTTCACAGGTTGAGACTGGATATACTTTGAAAAATGTTTTCAAATAAGCCTAACCAATTTACAGTCTTACTTATCAGTCCAATGGCGTCCAGTTTTACTTTATCATAACTTCATCACAATTAGGTTGCTTTTTACAAGAAAAATAGTTTATTTTTATAAAATAAAAATTAACATACCTATGATAAATCTTAATTCTGGAAATAATGAACACAATGATGGAATGATCGCGATCAGTAGATCAAGTCCTTTACGATAAACCAAACGAGATACAACGACAATTGTAACTGGAAAATAGTAAGAAATAAGTGGGGAAAAACTGCCTTACTGAATTCTCAAGGCTATTTTGGTTTTGTTTTATTTTAATGAAAGCGATTGATAACGATAATAGAAATAACTAACAGTGCAGTAGAGCTGGATGAAGAAGCTAGAAAGAATCGAATACCTTCATCTTTTAACACTACGAAATGATTACAACATAGAAAGTTACGATGACTATCGTTACTGCCACTGTCAAAATTCATTCACTTGGAAATTATGAAGCACAATCGAAGCACAAACGACAGATGCTATGCATTGTCAGATGCTTAAAAAAACATGTACAAGGTCAATCCATTGAGTTGTCTGTTTACGTGTAAACAAATTCATTTTAATGTAATTCAGTTTTATCAGTGAAATAAAATGCAGCAAGACTCTCTCCAAATTGAGATTATTATTCCGAGATTTGGTCAGAGGGTAAAGTCTCTCAAAGGATCTACTGAGCTTTGATTGTTTCGATGAGATCTACAAGCATAATAAATCTATAAAATAATTCCAACAAAGTTCATTTTTAGCATTTGACCACTAACTGACTTCAGTTAGAGAACCACTAAAATTCAGGGAGCACCAGAGAGTTGTTTAGTCCTAGTTTGGGACTCTTCATCGGTATGCGTTCATGACCCAATCGGAGATTGAATCTAGGAACTTATGATTACAAGGCGAACTTGTTAACCATTCAACCCCAGTGGGGTGGGTGTGTGGGTGCGTACTGCCGAAGAGATCCAAACTACGACGAAACAGCTGTCCTGTACTCCCCGGTTTTTAATGGTCAGTTCGTATTCAAACTTGAGATCAATTATAACCTTACAAACCAACATTTGAAAATTCATTATTGGTGAAAAAACGTTTTCTGCTTGTTCCTACAGAACACTATGGAACAACAAAAGACACTTTACAAATAACCACCTCTCATGAGGAGAGTAGCTTAAACCTCATAAATTATGCAACTTATTGCACATCTTAGCCTGTAAGTGACTAAACGATCAGGTTTGCTTTCCTTACTATCCAATTATAAGGGGGTTAATATCATCAAATAACTATAAACTTTTAAGATCAATTGAATCTAATATTATAAATATACCAAGAAAATGTGAAGGATTTTAAAAATTTACTAACTATAATTCAGATCACGACAAGATGGATCAGGAATAAACGCTGAAGCATCCAGTGCATTTGGAATTACAAATACCCGATCAGGATCATATTTAGCTCGTAAAACCACATTCTCTTTAGCAGTATGAGAAACACAGATGACTTGATCGACAGCTGTGAATACACCTTCCATTACTTTATTCATAATAATTGCTGAAAGATCTGAGAAGCCAAAGAGAGAGTGCTCTGTGTATACAGTTCGACAGCCAAGACTTTGAGCATGAATAACAGCTTCACATGCAAAAGATGAAAATATCTGAAAAGAATTCAGATAAGCAAAATAAACAATAACTGATGCCCATTGCATAATAGGTGGCTCTCTTGGCCCAAGTGGTTTAGTGGATACCGATTTGGCCTTTGACAACAGTGGGTACTGGGTTCGAGTTTCAATGAGAACACCATCACTCACTGAAGAATGCAAGTACATCCAGCCGGCGAGTCCCAAATTGGATGAAACACGTACCCTGGACTCAACTGTCAGTCACCATTAATCAAATTGCTTCAAATAAACATGAAGTTCTGCATGAGTCTTAAATATACTATACTCTAAGTGAACTGAAAACTTTTCATGAGATAAAATGAAACACAATCTTTGTATTACACCTCCATACGCCTTCACAGGTAAGAGGTTAAGGAGGTTTACAGTAAATGCGAAGACTACCAGTGTTGTTTGCCACGGACGCCAAATATCATCATTTTAATTTTATTATATATGTTAATGAGTGTGCGTCGGTGGCATAGGGGTAGAATGCTCGCCAACCACGCCCCCATGTGGTTCGGGGTTCGATCCCCGGCCACAGACGCACTCCTTTACCTCGCTAAGCCAACAATAGGGCTGGTAAAAAGGGAAGGTTGGGCGTGAGGCTAGCAACCCAATCCCGTAAAAATAAACACCACTGCTACAGAAACTTCAAGCCTCTAGCTTGAAGCCCTATGTGCCTGTGGGAACGTAAAGGAATTTTAAAAAATATGTTAATGATGGAGTTGAAACAGCATAGCTTTGAAATCTTAAGAATCGACTGACTTACAACATATAATGAGTTAAGTTATTCAGAGAATTCAGCTGACATAGTCAACTGGAGATAGGTGTACAATATGCTAAGGGAAAAACTTGAATAAAATAAACCACGTCAAAATTGTAATAACACTGTTAACTTTCATTGTTCATGTTATAAACAGCTGATAAAGCACTGACGAAATAAAATGAATGCGTTTAATCCTGCTTCATGTGTTGTTGTTGCTCTGTTCAAAATGCTTGCATAGATTAGTTCTATATTTTGTTCTAATTACGTTGAAACATTTAATTTCAACCCCACAACTACTTCAGCTAATATAGGTCGTCGAAGATGGTGGTGGATAGGCTGGAATAATCAAAAACGCTTCACAACCTCGTCTATCGACTTGTCTCCTCAGTATCAAGTGAATGCCTCACAAGTGATGATTACTGGGGCTATAAAAACGGAAAACTTAGGTTGTTTGACTTGTTCCACAATCTTTGAACTAAATTATTTTGCCTAAAAACCATGATCTGGAAAATCCCTTTCTCTGATGAAAACAAAAAATGCTTCGTCAAAAATAATAATATCCTTTGTTATTTAACAACTACATTTTACTGATTTAAACACATTTACAAAAACGATAAGTTCAGAAAAATATTAGAGATTTATTTTACACATACCGAATGTCCATGTACAATATCGATTTGTTCACGCAACACTATTTCTCGAATTATAGGTAATGTGCCCAGACCTGTAATGAAAATTGATTGTTTATAAAACGGTTGCATTGGAACATAATAAACCTGTGAAACAGTTAGTTGATGTAAATAAGAAACACAAACCTACTTTAAGTCCACGAGCTAAATACCTTACGCCTTGACGTTGTTCACTTTTTGAACCATAACTGTGTGTAATAACAACAACTCGATGACCACGGCGAATTAAACACTGAGACAAGGCGTAGATATGACTTTCAACACCACCAACATTTGGATGGAAGAAATCTGATACCATACTAAAACAAAAAGGGAGACTCATCGTCAATATTTAATTAAGATTAAAATCGAAAATATTATCTAACCCCATAAACAAAAGCGTGTCATTATCCACTCCATTGAGTTCAAATAAACACAAAGTCACATCGACCTTATGCAATATGACTTCTTTGGAAGCTTAACTTAGGTTTCGACAAGGAAGTAAATTTCAATCACTGGTATACCTGAATTTACTTTGGTTAATTTCGAATGTTCATCACATTTTAATTATCAACAAACATAACTTTGAAGTAAATATGGATGCAATTATCTAGTCTGGTTGTGAAACACTGACTATCAATTACTAAATCCGGGGAAACATCACATTTAAACATCTCCATAGTATAATCAGAAAAAGAAAGTTTCCTAAGCGAACAACTGTTTTCGAAAACTTTTTCAGGCTCTACTGTTATAAATCCATGAATATTAGAATACAAATAACCAGTAAAATCCAATACGAATTATATTACGAACTGTATTCGGGCCCATGTATAAGACGGAGTAATAGTCCGTTAGTTAATATTGTCAATTGAATGCATATAAAATGTATAGTCATTGGAAAAATTAGATAAAATGTGAATAGACAATTGACTGACTGGTTTCAACATGGAACTTTGCACAGAAGTGCAGCACTTCGAGTTGCCACTCTCCAAGTAGCACACAAATGAAGACAAGAGAGTAAAGAGAGATTCAAAACAGAGATATAGGGCAAAAAGAATAGTAATATGGAAAAGCAATATAGTTTTATTAGATATTATAAGTCCCGAGGAGTGGATGCATCTGTGCCAGCCATTGAGAACGATTTTGAGCCATATCACCAACTGTCTCCAGTCATTGTTGTCTACCGTCCTGAGGACCCCAACCAGGAAGTCTACACCTCCCTACATAACTGAAACTATTTTTTATTTTTTATTTTTTTATTTAAACGCATTAGAACTTGGTACAATATGGCACCAAGAAGGATGCGCCACACAATAATAATAAAACAACATAGATGAAAAAAAAAGGAAGGCAGGAAAAGAAAAAATATATATAAGTAGAGAACGAATAAAGAACTTCATCTGGGAGGAAAACACTCATTCTTAACAGATTCAAACAGTGTTCGTTAACTATCATCGGGAATGGAAGAAAGAAGGAAATCGCAACACATTCGCCATTGATTACGATTCTTGGCCATATCCGATAACGTTTCGAGCCATCGATTTGAGCTATCTCTCTGACCCAAACCAGGGAGTCGTGACACACCAACCGATGCTAATCTAGCACAGAAATCCTTCATCCCACGACGCCACGTCATGGGCTGACCACCTCTCCGCCTTTTCCATCCCGTCCCAGGGCTAGCGAACAGAGACCTGTACGGAAGCCTCTGGGGTGACATTCGCAGCACATGTCCAAGCCACCGGAGCCGGTGTTTCCAGATGACGACATTCAATGAATGGTGATCTCCACTGTGTTCAAACACACGCCGCCGAACCTCAGAATTACTCACGCGATGATGCCATCGAACGCAAGCAATCCTGCGGAGACAGCGGTGATCGAACACGCAGAGTCGCCTCACATCCTCAGCTCGGAGAGGCCAGGTTTCACAGGCGTAGAGCAGCGCAGCCCGCACCGAAGCATTGTATACCCGACCTTTGACAGCCAGGCCAACGTCGCGACGGCGCCAGAGGTGGCTCAAGTTGATGTATGCCACCCTAGCTTTCATTATACGGTTGGAAATCTCATCCGTCACCCCTCCACCAGCACTTACACAACTACCTAGGTACACAAACTTATCGACAACTTCAAGCGGTTCACCCGCAAGAGTGAGTGCAGGTACAGGCTCCTGCCAATCTTGTAACAGTACTTTGCACTTAGACGGCGCAAAGCACATACCATACTTACAGACACTGATCGCCAACTGATTAAGTGCGATTTGGGCAGCCTGCATGCTATCGCACAGTAAGACGATATCGTCTGCATACTCGAGGTCGAAAAGTCTATCTCCAGGTAGCAGATCTACACCACCTTCACGCACATCCTTCAGAGCTGACTCCAGAATGTCATCGATGGCAAAGTTAAAGAGAAATGGAGAGATTGGGCAACCCTGTCTAACCCCACTGTTGGTTGGGAACAGTGGTGATAGTTGGTTGTATGCCCTCACTCTACCTGAGGTGTTTCTGTATAGGGCTTTCAAGATGTTAACAAATTTCTCAGGTACACCTCTCTCTAACAGACAGTTCCAGAGCACAGTTCTGTCCAACGAATCGAAGGCAGCCCTAATATCAAGAAACACAACGATCGTTGGCCTGCAATACGTGTGGCGGTGTTCCAACAACTGACGAAGGGTGAACACATGATCAATGCATCCACGACCTGAACGAAACCCAGCCTGCTCTTCACGAATCAATCCTTCGCGTATTTTGCACAGTCTGCGAAGCATGACAGCAGCCAATATTTTAGACGCAACTGGTAACAGACTGATACCCCTATGGTTGTCACACGAATTACGTCGACCCTTTTTAAAGATGGGGACGATAATGGCTTCGTTCCACATTGATGGTACGCTCTCTGTCTCCCACACCCTCCTGAACAACCCAGTTAGAGCCATTATGAGAGTCTCGCCACCCTCTTTAAAAAGAGCCGGGGGTAAATTGTCTGGGCCGGGCGCCTTATGGCGTTTCAGAACTTGGAGTTCCTTACGGACCTCCGCTTCGGTGGGTGGGTCGGTACTAACCGACCAAGGAGCACTCGGGCTAATGATAGTAGACAATGAAGCTGGTGGCCAGCTGAACTGCTTCCCGAAGTGCTCTGCCCAGCGTTCCAGGCGTCTCTTCAAGCTGGTAATTGGAGTGCCATCTGCCTCACAGACCGTCTCGCTGACACCTTGTTTCTTGCTGCCGGTGGCTCGTATGAGTTGGAACAGCTTCCGACTGTTGCCAGATGCAGCAGCTGACTCCATCTCATACGCACGTTCTGACCACCAGGCTTCGCGGTCCTTACGTAAACACTGTCTAATCTTGCGCGTGAGCGCCTTTCGCTGATTGTTGTATTCACTGCCAGCCGGAATGGACCGGCGTTCATCCATGAGTTGCAAGGAACTCGCAGAAACCCAGTGGTTGTTAGCGGAGCATTCTTTCAAGCCGCAAGCGGCTACACTCGCCTTTTGCATGGCACCTTGCACATGAAGCCAGTGTTCGTCTATACTACTTGGGGGGTTGCTGGCAAGCATTGTTTTCAACTCATTCTGATATTTCAAACAAGTAGCAGGTGCTACTAGTTTGCTCACATTAACGCTTAGACGACGGTTTTTACGAACCCCACCAAATCGCAAGACGAACTTGGCACACACTAACGCATGATCGGAGTCCAGGCATGTGCTCCAGAAGGAGCGACAGTCTTGTATGCATCCGCGCCACCGGAAACTGACCGCAATATGATCAATCTGAGTCCAAGCTTGCTTCGCAGAGGGAGGACGCCAGGTAGCGCTACGGCGATGGCTGTGCCGGAAGTTGGTGCTGGCTAGAAATAGGTTGTGATCCGCGCAAAGCTGCAGAAGACGGTCCCCATTATCTGACCTGCGACCATGTAGTCCCCACTGACCACCTAGACGACTCTCCTCTGAGCTTAGACGCCCGACCTGTGCATTCAAGTCCCCAGCTAGCACTACGATATCCCTCCGACCCGCCTGTTTCAACAGATCGCTCAGTTGGTAGTAAAACTCATCCTTCATTGCATCCGGGCTGCAATCCGTCGGTGCATAGGCAGAGACAACAAATAGACACCGCCTATCTGTCCTACTACTCCTTACTTTCGTATATCCTTCCAGCCTCACAGCACATAAACGACTGTTAATGGGAATCCAGTCGAGCAGTGCAGCTTCGGCTCTAGCGCTCAGTGCGACACCGACACCAGCTACGCCGGATGCCGATGCCACAGGGTCCCCGGATAAGCGCAGGTGGTACATACTACTAGAACTTCCAGATGGAGAGGATAGTCGAAGCACTTCACTGGGATCTTGAATGCGGGTCTCCGAAATGCAGCAGACATCGATAGCGAGGCTTTCCAAAGTTCTTGCCAACCCTGCCTGTTGTCCGATTTGCATCAGCGTCCGAACATTGTAGGTAGCCAGCTTGAACGCAGCACGCGGTTTCAGGATATCTGTGTTAGATGTCACATTGGGGATAACCATTTTGAGGGTTACTCACTAACATCTCGAAACGACACGGATAGGCTGGGAATCTCGACAAAGGCGAAAGGCTGCCGAAGGTTAAGAAGCCAAGGTTAGCAAAGGTAAAATACAGGAAACTATGTGTAAAAATAAAAGTAAGATAGGAAGGAAATAAGTTGCTTGAGGGATCAATATTGCTTGGAATCATTTTTTACTAGCGCGCGTTGAGTTTCAATGAGTTCGTTGCTTCAATTCATTCATTGTGTGCGGGCTGAGATACTGCCCGGGCGCCCAGACCGAAGCAGGTGGTTTTATTAAGGGACCACCCTCCGAGCCTTTGACTTGGAGTCTAATCCGCAAGGCAGCGGAGCAGCGTCAGGAGCTGCATTCCCATGGTTGCCGGTGACCCATATGGGTTCATACGCCATTCGATCCAATTGGAAACTGGAGCCCATGTACCCCATGGTAACTGCTTTTAGTCTAACCGCTATCCAAACAACCTTCCTGGCATGGTAGGACCTGCAGGGACATGAGTCCCAGCCAGTTTAGCTTGTTGGGTCACTGCGGCATTCAAGCCCGACCACCACGGCAAGGTAGCAGTTATCTGTAGCAGTTAACTGAAACTAGCTGCTATGGATTTCATATTTTGGTTTCGCCACCACTAGTTCTTTTCCAACTTTAGGACATGTGTAACACATGCCTAACCATCTCAATTGATGTAACTTCACAACCACGTCGACTGATTTTCCCTCCTTACCTGGCACTCGACACCTAACCTCAATACTACTTACCGCATTGTACCACCTGATACGGGAGAAAGACTCGTGTACCGGGTTGTAGCAGCAATAAAATGACTTTCTGAACAATGAAGTCAGTTGTAATGTCTAACCACCCTGTGATGAAGGACAAGAAAAGACTGACACCAAATATCACACATTTCAAAGGCGTTTTGTACGAACGAAACTTACTAAATTCCACCACCTTCAGATAGTCCCTGGTCGTCCTCTAGTTTCTGAAACTACGCAAAACTAATCTTTTTCTCCTTTTCTTTTATTTCCTTCACGTTCCCCAGTGGAACATAGGGCTTCAAGCTAGTGGCTTGAAGTTTCTGTAGCAGTGCTTATTTTACAGGATGGGGTTGCTAGCCTCATGCCCAACCTTTCCTCTTCACCAGATTTTAGTTCTGGCTTAGCGAGGTAAAGGAGTGCATCGGCCGGGGATCGAACCCCGGACCATGTGCATGGTCGGCGAGCGTCCTAACCGCTATGCCACCGATGCACTTTTCTCCTTTGGGTAGTCTAAAAAGAAATCATTTTCCACTAGCTCTTAATATACTCCTGTTCATCATCTGTCCTTACCTTGTTTTCCTTAAGCACTGTCTTCTTCAACTATCATTACAATTATGTAGTTCATGCAACTTACTTTTAAGACTATTTCCAACGACTTAAACCAGAGACAGGAATCCTAGCCAGAAAAATACTACTCTTTTCAACTTATAAGCCTTATGAGCAGATAGGCAGCAGGTTTCTAGCTAAGACTTCAGTATTTAAGTCTATAACTGAGAGGTGTATAAAAACTCTAGTGTTAACATACACTTAACTTCACCTGGTCAACATAGTGAATCTGTTAAATTCACCATTGTAGGTGACAGGTTTTTTGGCTAGTTCTCATGGGGTTGATGATGTAGGAATAGCAGAAAAACTACTCCTTGATTGGATACCGGTGAACAGTTTTCTGTAAGTTGTCTGGCCGGAAAGGTCGTGGTAAACAAGCAAAGATCGTGACATCAGTCGATCCCTTTTCATAACATCATATTAGACATCCACAAATTGCACTTTTAGGTAGAAGGAAAAAGTGACTCATTAGCACTCACATTAACAAGCGATTTTGATGATCGAGGTATGTAGGCTGTCAGTTGAATAGAGAAAAAATGACGAGTAATTATCCCTTACCACTTTGTTCAAATAGTCGAATAGTGTTTCTAACAGGCACAAGTTCCAAACATAAGGAGTGACACTGCCTCATCTGGATGTCACCAAAATCAAACCAAAGATTGACATGTACAAACTATTTCACGGTAAATTTTCAATGAAGAAATTTGAGGGTACATTACAGCTTATTGAAATACCTGTACGCACTACAATCACGCAGTAGCTTGTGCAAGTAAATGGACGTACAGACAAACAGCCACATAAATAGAATATATGATTTTAAACTAATGTTAGGTGTGCATTTAGGAAGAAGTTTGTTAAACACCTCTCATTCTGAAATGACCTGGCACCGTATTTGGTCTCTCACAGAAAGTGTTGAATACAGTTGATAAATTGCAGTCAAAAATTATTAAGGCCAAAGGTTTTCTGTTCATCGCCAGTTGACAAATACATGAAAATCAAACGTTTTGAAAAGACACCAGAGGGAATAATGCATCAAACCAGAACTCCACATTTTATAGAAAATGGAATTACAAAATAAGGAAGCTAGGACATCAAAACAACGGAAAAATAGTGATACCTATTATGAACGAATTTAAAATAAAGCAACGAAATAGAAGTCACATTATCTTACATTTATATAATAGTTTCACACATTTTACAGAACCTGCCCAGAAAGCGTTCTCAGAAATAAATTCTAGATATTGGTGAAGTGACTTGGTTGCTTCGAGATATTTCGCCAATAAAAGCCAGCGTAACGCATTATAATAGTTTTGATTACTGAGTCCACAAAGTAAATTTTTGCAGTTTGGTATCTTCTTAAAAATGACATAACTAATTAAATCTGGTCCTTATAAAAAAACATCGCTCCACGGAAACATGAGGACATGCATTATTTTAAAATTTTATACGTTTCAGGGACAATCAATCAAAATGAATTTCACATAACTTCTGGATCCACAACTGCATTACTATAGTTTCATTAGGATGCATTTAAGCATCACACACAAAAGTCTGTAGCTCATATTACGTATTCTACAAATATCATTGCAGAATTATGTGGAGGACTCAAAAATAATTGCACGCAGCTATGGTTGGGTTTTAAAGAAACTGAATTTGAAACGAAAAACTGGTTAACAATGGGGTTCTGACCACTAAAACCTACGAAGCCCTAACGCAGTTAGGAGGAATAAACAGGAGGGGAAATTTGACGGAGTAGCACACTACAACAATGAAAAACATGACTGTTTGATAGAGCAGTTATGAGAAATTAAGTAACATAACTACCAAAAACAATTTATATATATAGAAAGAATCATAACTTACGCGATTTTGAGTTTCCTTTTTCTTGGTGGTGAGTTGAGATAGTCATACTGCATCTGAAAACGCTCAAAATGACTTCTTTACAGAATAGAAGTACTGTTTGAGGTGAAAACGACTCTTGTGTCCTACTGTATAGCTGTCTGAAACTTCTTTGAGAAACGCAACCACGAGAATCTCCGAAGACGACAGACGATATCGTCACAAACGGCTTACAGAGAGGCTGAGCACATGAAGGTCACTTGCGCATGTTGTGATTGGTGGATTTCCCTATGAGTAAACGTTGCGGCTAATACGTTTTGCGCGTTACTGAGGCAGGCATGAAATAACAATATTAAAATCAAATGGATATTATATTTTTCAGCTTAAGGGAACAAATTAATATGGTGACTCTAAACTTTAGGAACCCAAACGAACGAACGGACAAATGGCCTTGACAAGGACAATTTTAACCAATCAGAAGGCTTAAACTGAACGGCGCATAATTTTAATAAATCGTTTATATACAAGTAAAGCAATGTTAAAAAATAGTTACAAAGGATAGCGTTCTCGTATATGTTGCAAAATAAGTCCCAATTAGACATAGGAGTCTTTAAAGTCATGTTAAACCAAGTCCTATACATAAACTCGTCGAGATAACTGTAAATCATTGGATGGCAAAGTTGAACAATAGCGTCCCAGTGATGTGAACGCACGTGTGTCCTTCAGCTGACCAATCGTAAAAATGACGGATTTTTCCGGCCAAGTTAAACTTTAGACACCAATAACTACCAATCAGCGATGACGTCAAATTATCCAATCAGATTCACGAACGGAGTTCAATGTTGTATAGCGCTTGATTCATTTCAATGCGTGCCCTTACAAGGTTACGTTTGCAGTTCTAGGAGGATAGTGTAGTGCAGTATTGCCTAGACTTAGGATTGCTAAGAAAGGAGAGGAAGTGTTCCTGTGGTGACGTTATGACTCTAAAAAGCTATTCGAGGTCAACTGATGGATTTGTCCAGCGTTGTGGAATATGTTGGAAAAGAGTTAGTATTAGAGAGGGTAAGCTGGTAATTTTAATATTTCGTAGGGACCTTTTTTGCTAGATCACATCTCTCTCTAACCCAAATTTTGTATATCTGCAATTATTGGGTACTGAAGCAGCCAGTGAGAGCGGCAGCTGCGGAGACGGAGAACAGCCTCGTCTCAACAGTTCAATGGTACCAGCACTGCAGGGACATAGCCTCATGGAAAATGGACAGGATTACTTCGTTGTTAGGCGGGGACGACGTAGTAGTCCATGTAGACGAAACAGTGTTGATAAAAAAGAAATACAACCGGGGTCGTCAGAGAGCAAACAATATTTGGGTTATCGGTTTATATGACACGTCCCTTCGAAAAGGGTTTGTTGAAAGGATTGCAGACAGGAAGGCGACCACTTTGATCCCTATTATAACTCGACTTGTCAAAAGGGGATCAATTGTGCACACCGACGAGTGGAAAGGCTATGATTCCCTGTCATCTCTGGGTTACGTTCACCACAGAGTCAACCACTCCAATGATTTCGTCGATCCTTTCACTGGGACTCATACAAATTCCATTGAAGGTTTTTGGGGGAGACTGAAAAACAGGATCCGCGCTATAAATGGATCACAAAAGGATATTATTTTCAGTCATTTGGACGAATACATGTATAGAATTTGGTGCGATTTTTCTATTGACAGTCCAATGTTGAACTGGGAAATGTTTTTGTCTCATGTTAGAGAAAGATACCCATTGTAACCGTTTTATACTTTTTTCTATGCATTTTTGTGCAAATATACGCTTCCACTTATTATAAACGGCTCTTTAATGTGATTGGTCAGTTCAAGGTCGCTTTCTGATTGGTAGTTATTGGTGTCGAAAGTTTAACTTTGCCATTTTTCCACAAAAATCCGACGTAGGTTTACAAGAAAATGCATGAAAACACATTTAACAGGGTACTTTTAAAAATACGTCCCAGTAATAATGACGAATATCAGTTGCTAAGTTGGACTAGTTCCTGTACATGTATTCACCGAAGTGATTGAAAATGAGTTGCTTTTGTGAATCGCTTATCTCTCTTATTCTGTTGTGCAGTCTGCTCCAAAAGCCTTCGGTTGAATTACTATGGTTTCCAGTAAGAGGATCGACAACTACTCACCAGGAAAATGTGGATAATAAAATAAACTAAAATGAGTGACATCAGCTCTTAATCTATCCCTGATCGCAACCCTAACCTTAATCCTCACCAATACCCTAAACTTCACACCAACCTCAACCTAAATCCTAACCCTCATTGCAGTCATTATGCTAACCGTAAACTTAACCCTAATTATGACCTTGATCCTAACCCCAATACTTACCTTAACACTAACCCTAACGAGCTATTAACTCACTGTCCAAACAGTACTTAAAAGCGTGATCTGAGTGAAGTTTGCTCCTTATTTGGTGAATGGCATTGATATTTCAGCTATAATTATGACAGGTGCCGTTAGCCAACGACTACCATGTGTTCGAGGTCATTCGAGCATTCGCCCTCCTGGGACCCTTGTTGAACTTCACCCTCACTTTTTCCTCTGCAACTTAAAAATACCTATATTGTGAATTATTCAGATTTACTGGTTGAGGATAGAAGGCTTGTAGCCTAGTAAATTTCTATGCTTATCCAATGCTTCTTGAAAAGAGAGCATAGGCGAATTCCGTAATCATACGTGTTGCTTTCCTTGGGAACACTTCTAGAATATGTGAGTCCCCTTTAAGACAAGAACTGGCTGCCAGGATGCAGTTTTCTTGTCTTGACCTCACCAGAGATGTATATAGGAGGTGAACATATCTCTGGTGATTCTAATAAAGGTTTCGCGAATTGCCCATGAGGATCTGGAACTACTTGCAAGTCGTGACTTACAGTAACACCTGGATCCAAATGAGTCTGAACTAATGGAAGTGGGAGCTGATGCCTGCATGTCCAGTGCTCATGGTTGCACATTTCGCTACATTGATAGGGAGCATCTGGACCACTTGACAATTTGTTGAAGTCTTCTTGCAGCGTGAGCGTATCACTGTCGCCCTTCAGCACTCTCCAGGTTTTTAAGTAATCTGCGTATAAGACCATAGGGGAATCGGTGAGCAGAGATAACTCACTGATATACAGAATACTTAGGAAAGGTTCGAGTACCGTGCACTGTGGTACTCCGCTACGCACTGTTGTCCAGGAGGAGAGTTTCGAGTTGATCTTGACCCTTTGCCTCCTATCCATGAGGAATTTCCTGATCCAGTTTAGTAAGCTGCCTTTGACACCAAGACTTTCCAGCTGCATCAGTGGTCTTTTGTGAGGAACTTTATCGAAGGCTTTGCTGAGTTATGTGAAGACGACGTCAACGGGTCTTCTGTTGTCCCTTGATTTGACCCAGCTTTCTACTGCAGTGAGATTTGATAGGCATGAGAGGTTTCCTTGGAAGCCATGCTGTCCTCTGGATAACAAATTGTTGTTTTCCAGATATGCCATGATACTTTTCTTGATGATTCTTTCCAGTGTCTCGATTAAAGTAATGATGAGACTAATAGGCATGCAATGTGATGGGCGTTGTCTTGATCCTCCCTTGTGGATGGAAGTTACTATGGCGTCTTTCCAGTCACGCGGCAACACCCCATTTAGGAGAGACAGCTTGAAGGTCATGGTCAAAGGGCCGGCTATATGAGCTGAAAGCTCCTTGAGAATCCTTGGATGAAGATTATCAGGACCCATTGATTTCCGCATCTGGTTTCATTAGGCAGTTGAGCACCATGTCCTGGTCGACGTCAACGAAGTCTGTCCTGTGTTTCTCCGATGCAGCCAGAGCTGATCCTATGGGGAGTAACGACTCATGTGTGGAGACTTGGGAGAAGTAGTCTGCCATCGCTTCTGCTTTTTCTTGATCTTTGTGTCACTGTCACTAGTCAGGTATGGGACGCAATTGGATGTCTTATTCCTGAAGTTCATGTACGAGAAAATTTTCATAGGTTGTGCCATCGCATTTTGAGCCAGATGTGATTCGAACTTTATCCTTGATTGGCGGATTTCTGCAACAGCTTTGTCCCTAGCAGTGTTGTATAATTTTCTAGTCTCAGGAGTCCTAAGTATGGCAAACAGGTTCCAGCATTTGTGTTTACGTCTTAGTAACTTACGAACCTCTCGGTTTATCCAAAGGGGGCAATGTTTCCGACTCTTCGAGACAGACCAAGGAATGAAAGGTTCAGTTACTTGGACGCGAAACTATTTAAACTTGTTACATCCGGTTTCCACTTGGGACTCTGGCTTTATGTACCAGTTCACTGAGTTAGCTAATGAGACGATCACATTTATGTCAGCTTTCCAAACGTTTGATCGAAGTGGGTTTTAGGCCCATGATAGGCATGCTTTTCAGAATGAACTGGAACTGAAAGATCTCAATATGTCCATTATAAGAGTCAGTGTACAATAGTGGATATAAATAGCAATAAAGTTATAAGAACACACTTCCTATAATTATTATTGTATTTATTATTGTTCCCTTGGGTTCCTAGTGGAACATAGGGCTTCAACTGCACGTCTCCACTTGCTTCTGTCTTGTGCTGTACTTTTCACTTGCGTCCATGTTATTCCATACTGTTTCATCTCCTCTTCACACGATCTCCTCCATGTCACCCTTGGACGTCCCACTCGCCGCTTCCCACTCGGGTTCTACTCGAGGGCTTGACGCGCGATGTCACTCAACGGCCTCCTCAGCGAGTGTCCAATCCATCTCAACTTCCTCCTGCATATTTGTTGGGCGATTGGTTCCTGTTTCGTTTGTTCCCATAGCTTCTTGTTTGTGATTCTTTCTGGCCATCTTATCTTCAGTATGGAGCGAAGACAGTTGTTGATAAAGGTCTGCAACCTGCTGAAAATATTCTTGGTGACTCGCCAAGTTTCTGATCCGTGAAGCAAAATTGACTTCACGTTAGTATTGAAAATCCGAATTTTGTTGTTGATGTTGAGTGACGAAGATTTCCAGATTGGTTTCAGGTTGATGAATGTGTTTTTTGCTTTCCCGATTCTCGATTTGACATCCTCGTCCGTTCCTCCTGTAGTTGAGACAATGCTCCCTGGATAAGGGAATGAGGTAACCTCTTTCAAATCCCTCCCGTTGATGGTGATTGGGACTGGATGTTGCTGCTGTTGTTGGTTGGTTATTTTTATGACCTCCGTCTTGTCTATGTTCACCTGGAGTCCTGTCTTTGCTACTTCTTCGACCAGTTTGTCGGTTTTCGCTTGTAAGTCT